GAATTAATGATGATTGAGTTTTGTAAAATTCAAAGTTGGTTTAGACTAAACAAAGTATCGTTAAATTTGGATAAGACTAACTATATGATATTTAGCAATAAAAATAAAAATATTGATGTTTCATTCAAGATTGAAGATTCTGAAATCTGTAGAGTATATGAGGTGAAGTTTTTGGGTGTCATCATTGATGATAAATTATCATGGAAGCAACATATAAATTCTGTTAAAATGAAAATATTAAAATCTATCGCAATATTTTATAGAGTTAAGTATCTACTGAATGACAAAGCATTGTATTTGATGTACAATACAATTGTTGTGCCACATTTGATTTATTGTGTTAATGTTTGGGGAAAAGCATGTAAATCAATTACAAAGTCTATTTTTATTTTGCAGAAAAGAGTTGTAAGAATTATCAAGGGTAAACATTATTATCATCCATCGAGTATATTATTTTGTCAAATGAAGTTGTTGAAGTTCCCTGATTTGGTGGATTATACCATTTTGTCATTCATGTATAGAGCTCATAATAATACATTGCCTTCTAATATCCAAATGCATTGTGTAAAAAGAGCTAGTAATTATAATCTTAAGGGGAAAGATGTTTTTGTTAAACCGCAATTCAGAACCAGTTTGAAGGGAAGATCTACCCTAATTCAGGGTGTTGGACTGTGGAACGACTTGGAGTTAGATGTTAAGGAAGCTAAATCAATCTCGGTATTTAAGAAAATGGTAAAAATTCAATTGCTAAAAAAATATATATGAATGTATTTCATGAAAAATGTTGGATATTTGAAATATTACTTGAGTTATTTACTTGTTTCTGATAATTTTCTGAATATGTTTGTTTGAATGGTTTATTAGATAAATAAGGAGCAGATTCAATAAGATTTTTTCTTCATCTGCTACCTTTCATTTTATATTTATAATTGTTTTCTAATTACATATATGCTAATTGATATGTATTTTATTTTGTTATGAAATGAATAAATAAATAAAATAAAAAATAAAAAATAAAAAAATATATATACATATACATATATATACACAAACATACATACACATACATATACATATATACATATACATATACATACACATACATATACATATATACATATACATACACATACATATACATATATACATATACATATA